GCGGCGGAGAAAAATCTCAATCTATAAACTGATTTGACTGTATAATTCGAAGTAATTCTGACGCAAGTGTTTTTCTCGTGCGGCCTTTTGTAAATGATTGATACAGAGGTGTCTTATGCCCACTGATTATCTTTTGAATGATTAAAATGGTGCATGATGGTTTTAAGAATTATATCTATTTTGGTATATGTTTGATTATTATTGGGGGGGGGGGGGGGTCACCGAAAGAAGAATAAAAATTTGCATGCGTTTGGAGGTTATACATTATAACTTAGACACAACTTTTTGGGATGTTATGTTTCTATATTTTCGAGTTACTTGGAAAGTAATCCGTTAAATATTTCTTTTTTCTTCTTCGTAGGCTCTGCCTTTATTGATCGGCAACATGTGGAGAAATGTCTTTTAACGTACAAAGAAGATGTTGTGTCTTGCACTGTTTGTGGCGTTTCTGTACAGAAAGTTAATTTAAAAAGACATATGGACATTCATAATAAAGATGTAGCCTATAGTTGCTATATCTGCCAAAAGTCGTTTAAAAGGAAAGATAATTTGAAGAGACATATAAAATCTCACGAAGGACAATATGTAATGTTTTAAAGTCAGTATGCTGTCAAATACTAGTATGATTGAGTAATTATGAGATTGTACGTCATGGAATACAAACATTGGAAAGTAGTTTTTCTTTTGTTGGTATCAGAAGCCCCTCTCTCCAAATTGGGTTGACATTTTGCAAGAAATACTTTGTATGAAGTATTTCACTAACCTGAAATAGATTCAAACTTATGTCCATCATCAACATATTTAATGAAGCATGACTCCCGCTTGATAAAAACCCTTCTTAGATCTTGTTTTACAAATAAATTGGTAATGGGGAAACTATTTAAATATCTTTTGTCTTCTGTAGGATCTTTAAAGGTGATGCACAGAAAAATAGGTGTAACCGAGTTTTCCTCTTCCACCTACACCACTTGCCCATTGTGTGGATTACAACTTCACAAAGCGAGTCTTAAAAGACATATGATTCAACATTCCGACATAAGACCATATGTTTGTGCAATATGTCATAGGAGGTTTAAGAGGAAAGACTATTTGGAATCGCACATGCGTACGCATCGGAAAACAAAATAATAATTTGACGAAACAAAAACATGAATGTTCTATTACTCATAGCTTTTGAAACTTTGAACTGATCTTTGTACATTGTGAAAATGTTCACTTTTAATTGGTAATTAAAAGATATTTCGTTGATGAATTTTGTTGGTATTGTGATTGTGTTAAATAAATTGGTTATTTTTCTATATATTTTAAACACCATTCTATATACGGAGTTGGATTGATTTGGAACTCAGTGGTAATAACAACATTGGAACAGCTTTGGAAGTTGTTGAAATTTTGTCTACTGTTAGAGAAAAGTTCATTTTATTTTAAAGAAAAATAACTGAAGGGAAACATGTATCTCTGATATGTTTTTTCTCTTTCTCTGTAGGAGAGCCTGGCATGGACTTCTTCACGACACAATCTAGAACATCGTTTTTGTACTCTTTCACATGTTTACTTTGTGGAACTGTGCTGAAAACCAAACGAAACTATCAGAGACACATGGTCATGCATTCATCTGCTCGACCTCACCAATGTAGTTTATGTGAAAAAACTTTTAAACGCCAAGATCATTTAAAGAAACATGTCGACTCTGTGCATCTTAAAAAGAGTTCTTGAGGTGTATTTTAGGATTTGACCATTTGTCTGAAGATACATAAATGTATTTTAATTTTAAAATGATGTGCATTTTGGTACACGTGTGATTTAAATAGGGTTGTGAGTAAAATTATTAAAAGCATGATAAAGAATGATGTGTTTGAACAAAGATACCATATTTATTTACAGTTTTTATAATGCGTAAAATGTTATATTAAGGAAAGAGTATTCATGTTAAAACATAATAAAATAACCGGTTATCTCTTCTGCAGGACAGAACAGGCACCAAATCCCACAAACCACTTCATTCAACTCCGAAAAACACTGTGTTTGTCTAATTTGTGGATTCCGAACCTTATATAGAACTAATTTAACCCGACACATGGCCAATCATTCTGAGGATAAACCACACAAGTGCGAATTTTGCTTGAAGACGTTCAAAAGAAAGGATTATCTGAAGCAACACATTTTATATCATAAGGATGTCACACATCCTCTGTATCAGCCCGGGGCTGTCTGACCTAATTTTTTTCGAGTAAATTTCTATTGATGTACAAATCGTCGTTGGTTCAGACTTCTTTTTGCGTATACTTACATATATTTTTGCTCTGTTTTGTTAAATTTTATCAAGGGACTTTTATTATCACTAAATGGTTCATGTCAACCTAAAAACATTTTTTGTTGTAATATATTTGTACGATTTTAACATTCAGTAATAAAAATTTTAATATTCGTCATTGTAATTCGTCTTATTTTTCTTTAGGACCACAAATGGAGCAAGAGATATTCCCCAATCCAATAAGAACTCACGGAGATCAATCTTACAAGTGTCCAATATGTGGCTTCACGTCTATATATTGTGGTAGCGTCAAGAGGCACATTGCATGCCACTCAACTAAGCGGCGTTTTCAGTGTAATCTTTGTCCAAAGTCATTTAAGAGAAAAGACTACTTAACCCAACACATGTATTTGCATTTCCCCGACAAAAATAAGACCGATAGTACAAGGACTTAAAATAACTGTTCCATGGATTTTTGTTGAGATTTTCTAATGAATGGCTTGTATGGAGCTGTCCTTTCTTTGAATATTTTGTGTGTGTATTTAAAAATTTATTGGTAGATGCTATTGTTCATTGGGTTTCACTGTTTACATCTGTAGTTACTGGAGGGCAAGGATGACGTTGTATTTCTTATTATATGGCACATGTTACATCTTTTGTTGCTGCATGTAATTAACGCATTTAAATATTATTGCTTGTAAGTTGATTTTAAAAGTACGTTAAAAAATGTTCAATTTTAATTATTTTCGATGTAGGATATGCTGAGAAATTCAGTGATTCGTGTATTCGATTGGAAGATAACAGATACCAGTGTGTTCTGTGTGGGCGAACATCTCTATACATGAGTAACGTGATACGACACATCTCCACACACCACTCTCACAGACGATTCCAATGTCATGAATGTGGAAAATACTTCAAGAGAAAAGATTATTTAAAATTGCACATGACCGTGCATCAAACATGAATGAATTGATGTCTTTGGATCCAAATGCATAAAGAAGAATGCAAATTCAGCCTTTAAGAGAGTTGAATTGCCCTTTTCTGACAAACAAGAATATGTCTTTATAAGACTATAGACTATATTTCAATGTATTTTAGACGTTGAAATGTTTATGTATTGACATGTTCAAGTCGTTAGTAATGTTCATGTTCTCAATAAATGATTTTAAGTTCACAATTCCTTGGCGTAGTCTGGTATTTATTTGCATTGTAGAATAATGCAATTTCACATCATGTGGAATTTACGTAACAGAAGATAGGATTTAAGTTTGACAGCTTTTTTCTTTTTTCGTAGGAGATCTAAAAGAGGAAATTCCACCCCAACAGTTCCCTTGTCGAGTTTGTGGTCAAATAATGACTACAGAGCAGCAACTTAAAATTCATTATAGAACAGAACATCAAATTACTTCTGTTTGTTATTGTGGAAATCTCTTCAAAAGCACCCGAGCTTATAAATATCATTATAAAGTTAAACATGGGACGCATCGAAGACTGCATAAGTGCCCCATATGTGGTCTCACTTCGGAGTATTTCCACAGCATGAGAAGACACATGGCAACTCACACTGAAAGGAACATGATTCATTGCAGTTAATGTAACAAAAGTTTCTTCAGAAAAGACTCATTTCAAAACCACTGGAGGACTCTGCATAGTTAATGTCACATCAGTTCAAGTCGTACATATTTGCTTCATTTTCTTAAATTTTTTTTTCTCATTTGCCAGCGATGTCTTTGAACTCTATTACATAAAGAAGAATGCAAATTCAGCCTTTATGAATTGAATTGCACTTCTTTGACAAGACTATAGCTTTATAAGATAATACATTTAATGTATTTTAGACGTTAAAATGTTTTTGTGTTGATATGTTCAAGTCATTGGTAATATTCATGTTCTCAATAAATGATGTTAAGTTCACAGTTTCTTGTTGTAGTCTGGTATTTATTCGCATTATAGAATATTACACTTTCACATCATGTGAAATTTACATAGCACAAGATAGGAATTAAGTTTTACAGCCTTTTTCTTATTTCGTAGGAGATCTAAAAGAGGAAATTCCACCCCAACAGTTCCCTTGCCGAGTTTGTGGTCAAATAATGACGACAGAGCAACAACTTAAAATTCATTATAGAACAGAACATCAAATAACTTCTGTTTGTTTTTGTGGAAAATTCTTCAAAAGCGCCCACGCCTATAGATATCATTATAAAGTTAAACATGGGACGCATCGAAGTCTGCACAAATGCCCCATATGTGGTCTTACTTCGGAGTATGTCCACAGCATGAGAAGACACATGGCAACTCACACTGAAAGGAAAATGTTTCATTGCAGTAAATGTAACAAAAGTTTCTTCAGAAAAGATTCATTACGAAACCATTGGAGAACTCTACATAGTTAATGTCATACCAACTTATGCCATACATGTATGCTTTTTTTTTTTAAAGAAAAGCTTTTTTCTTATTTGCCATATGTAATATAAACAGCACTTTAATTTTGTGGCATAAAGTTGAAAAAGTTCTTTTATCAAGGATTGTATCTGATTTCTGTGGAACAGCAGTTGATTAATATGTTCTCAAAGTTGTGGAAGAAATGGAAGAGATTTATTGGTTTGATTAAGGACGCCGTTCGTGATATTTCAGTGGTTGGAAGTGTTGTCATCACGATGTTTTGTCTTGATATACTATTTTAACATGAAACTTGTTGGAATCGCAATAAAATTACGATATCTGCCTTTTCTCTTCGTAGGCTTTGGGAATGAAAGTGGTCTGCACATGGATTCAAATGTCTTGAATTGTGAATGTGGACGAAGGTTTGAATCCATATCAACATACGAACATCATTGTAAATCAGATCATGGTGGACAGGTGCACCCCTTCAAGTGTCCGATATGTTTTAAGAGAATTCAGCATCTAACTAGCTTGAAGCGTCACATGGCAGCTACGCATTCTGAACAACGTCCTTACAGTTGCTCATTGTGTCAAAAAACATTTAAACGAAAAGATGTGTTGACGCAGCATTTGTATTGTGTGCATAAAATAAAGAGAGGAAAGATGTCCATGTAGCCGTTTGATATAAGAAACAATGACTTTTAAGTTTTCTTGTCATTAAAAAAATATTTAAAGAAATAGGTACATGCAATTAAAACATACTTAATTATTATCTACAATATATGTGTAAATATTTTATCTAAATATTTATACACCCTTTGAAGAAGGGTGGAATATTGCTTTGTTGTCGTCTGTCAGTCGGTCGGCATTTTTGTTGGTCCACCATCAGTTTCCGTTCATTTTCTTCGCAGAGGTTGCACATAGTGAAAAAAAAAATTGGTAAACAGATTTATCATATGATAAATATGTCTAGGTTTCTGATTTTTGGCACGATAGAGCCATTTTGGACAGATGTATGATTCTTGGACTTCGAATTTTTTCTATTTATTTGCAGTGTCTGTTCATTTTCTTTGCATAGGTTGCACATATTAAAATGAAATTTGGTATGCAGTTTTATCATAAAAATATTTAGGTTAAGTTCTGATTTGGGTATGATCGAGCCATTTTGGACAGAGTTACGCTCCTTGCAATAGAAACATTCCAAGTACATGTATATGCAGTTTCTGTTCATTTTATTTGCATAGGAAGCACATACTGAAATGAAATTCAGTATACAGATTTATCACAAGAATATCTGTGTCAAGTTCTGATTTGGGTACAATCGAACCATTTTTGACAGAATTATGTTCATTGGACTGAAAAAAATCTTATTATTTGGGGGAGGGGCATAAATGTTTTACAGACATCTCTTGTTTTTAGTTTGAGGTCTTACTGTTTACCTTTTGTAGGATCTGCGTTAGTGTCTATGACTTTTATTAGATGTGATATGTACATTTTTAAGCAAGTTGAAGAAATTGTTGAGTATGTGAATAAGAAGTAGACTAAATAAAATCAACATATTTTTAAAGTGGTGTTTTCTTTCTGTAGGCGTCCCTATGAGGAGTGGAGTCTCGGATGAGGATCTGTGTTGCTCTCTTTGTGGGAAATTGTTTCATAATAGAAGCAATATGAGACGACACATACGTGATATTCATTCAAATAGAAGACCTTTCGAATGTTCTCTTTGTGATAAATCTTTCAAACGAAAGGATGTATTGAAACAGCATTATTGTGTAGTGCACAGACAAAGAACAAAAGAGAAAACTTTTAAATTACTTTCATGAAACTGTTATAAAGTACAAATTACTTTATCTTCTCTTACTAAAAAGTGCCTTTTCTTCTCTAGGAAACATGGGGGATTATTCTGAAATCACAGACGAAAGCAGTATTCAAAGAATTGTTGCAGAAAAGATAAAGGAATTGTACTGCCCAGTCTGTGGAAAAGAATTTAAAAATCTTCGAAATTGCCGCCGTCATTTCATTGCACGTCATTCGCTTGAGAGACCGTTCAAATGTTCATTTTGCGACAAAAATTTTTCTCGTAAAGATATACTCAACCAACACGTTATTGGTGTGCATAAACTGCATCCTGGTACTATTTTTCAAACTTCCTAGAAAGGACGAACGATTCAGTAGAGAGGTGATTTTGCGCTCTCTGAAGCGAAAGTTTGTTGATACAAGAGAATATCAGGAGTTGGGGATGGTGCAATGAATGATAAAATAAATGTTTCTTGTGAAAGTGCTTTCAGTGTAAAGAGATGGATGTCAAGCATGCCTCACAAGTGACACCATTGATGGTTTTTATTAAAAAATGTGTATGCTGTGTAGATGAAGTGCTTAGTTCATTTGAGAGACTTTCTGGCAAAGCAAATTAAGTTGATCATTTTGACAAGCAAGTTGCAATTAAAACCTCAAGACACATTTGTATTGAAATACTTTATATTGTGAATTTTAAATATCAATATATGGACTTTTTGTAAATATATTTCAATAAGATTTTACCGATAGGTTTCAAATTACAGAAAAAGAATAAACTGAATAAAAATTAATTGATTCTTTGTTCAAAAGTTCAAGGGTTGACTAGCCTCTTTAGCAGGGTATAGGTATTGGAGATTATGCTCATTCTCGAGAAAACACACATTAAATAAATGTGTATCATTGAAGAATATGAGGCTTATACGCTTATAAGCGTACGAAGATCCAGGAAATTTTATCTAGGGACAATATCGTATGCATTTGGTTTAATGCCGATTCGGCGATATTTTAGACGAAAACCCAACCTGATGTAATAGAAGGTTTTATCACATTTAAAATACAGCCTACATTTTTCTTAGTCAATAACGTGATCAAAAAAGATAAATTAAGGTAACTAGTGAATTTTATAAAAAATTACACAAAGTATGCCTTTATTTTAACAGATACGCTTCGTGTTTTGGATGAGCCAAAAGCACGCCCAATTCGATTTTTGAGGAGTGTACGCTACGATACCATAATTGAGTTGGTGTTAGGAAGGTTCAGAATTCCCCAAAAGCTGAGGAATAGGGAACAGCAGAATGCATACCTACAACATTGGCGGAATAAAGACAAATTTGAAGTGAAAGACGGAGAACTGTATCACATGGGACAAAAAGTGTTCAGACATTGAAAAACTTTTTTGGAATTGCGACGAATGAGCATTTAAAGACAGTTTGCCATTTTTATTCAAGTTGTTCAAAAAGTATTTTATGCAGAGTTTTTGTCGACTTCATTTTCTTTGTTAAAATGGATATGTGCTGTGCTTAAATGGCAAGTAGATTGCCATGCCATTGGATTGCATGTGAAATGTTATTTTGTTCAGTAACGATTTGTATCAGAAATGGTAATTTTGCAGTTGGTGGTTAAGTGTGTTTTTGTTCTTGGTTGTGTAGATTATCGGATTTATATCATTAAATATCATATTAATCTTTGATGTGCATTTGTGTTTTGTGAACCATTTCCGTTTGTTTTATTTCCGTAGGATCAAAACAGCACATGACGAGGACTCACGACGGTTCTTTTGTGAAATGCTACATATGTGGAACCTCTTTCGACAATGTGGATGATCTACTAGAACATGAAAAGCATACTCGGAGTGTACTGAATTGCTGCAAATGTGGAGATTATTTTCAAAATCGCGTAGTATTAGATGCACATATACAAAAAATACATTGTACTTCAGAACAGTTCATTTGTCCTGTCTGCTTTAAATCGTTTCAGTATTCTGGAAACATGAAGCGCCACATGGCAACGCATTCATCTGAGAAACCCTTTTCATGTCCATTTTGTAATAAGTCATTCAAACGGCACGATGTACTGAAGCGCCATTTGTTAATTCACGACAAAATATCCTCTTAGATTTGAAATGAGGAGGTGGATGCTTTGTTTCATAATACTGGTATTGTGCTACGCTAAGTAGAACTTATTTTATGTTAAGAAATAATTTCCTAGTGCAAAACTATGTATGTTTATTTTGCACACAAGGAGAAAGAAAAATGATCTATTGTTCAATAGTGACGACATAGTTCTCTTGTGCTTTTTGTATTATGTAGGAAAGAGGAAGAGTGCTATTTATTGTGATTCTAATGCTTTTTGACTAAATAGAGGGATTTGTTGATATGATGATGTGATGGTGGCTTCATTTAGGCAGTTTTAAGATAAATTCGTTCAGTGGTGATGACAAAACTTAGTTGATTTTGTTTTCTGTGTAAAAAACATATCGAGAAAAAATATTAGTTTTGATATTGAATACGGTCAGTACAAGTGGGGTATACTATTCACCTGTTTTACTGTATATTACAGACACAACTGTGAGGTTAAATGCAGCTTCTACAACCCTCTGTCACCTTTGCCGGATCACATTTCCAGCAAATGAGATTAAAAAACACCATCGAGAACACCATGCAATGGACCAAAAGGGTGTCTCACAAAGCAGAAAATTTTCTTGCAATGTATGTGGGAGACCTCAGATAAGTTTTGCTCATCTTCAAAGGCACATGACAACGCACTCCTCTGAGAAACCCTTTACATGTCCAATATGCAACAAGTCATACAAAAGAAATGATGTCATGAAGCGTCACTTGTTAACTCACGCAAAAGCAAGGTTCGTTAGGAAGGATTTTTAATACAACTTATTCATTCAAAGGGGAAGCTGAGCTCGTCCTTTTTATTCTTAAAAGAATTTTTTTTTGCATAAAGTGAACGTTTTTATAGTTATATTAAATGTGTGTCATTTTGTTGTAAAAGTTGATTGTCTGGTGTGTTTGTATATAAGGAGTATTTTTAAATTTTCAATAAAGTGTATTCATTCGTATTTTCAGTTTTTGTTTTAAAATGAAACACTACTGGGCGGTAATTCTCATCATATCTGTTTTCCCTTGAAACCAGTTTTACCTTAATCACATTGAGTTTTATTCTTATTTAGTCTCGTTTTTACCGCAAGAAGGCTGTTAATACAGTTTACTGTCTTCCATAGGCAAGAATTTTAATAAACTTTAATCTAAGGTCATCTTTAAAGTTTTAACTGCCCTTTCCCGACTCAAGGTAAAATCATTTGGTCGGTAGGTAAGTGTGAAAATCTGTTTTCCAGAAAATTTCAAAAATATTTGTTAACAGGATGATATCATAGGAATAAAAAGAAAAAAATATCGTGTCCTGATATAACCAAACAATTTTTTCAAAGATAGCCTATACCACTAAGGAAATGAAAAATTGTTCATAAATATACTGACACGCAAAAGAAACGCAACTAGCAGTAATCTACAAATGTTTGATTTTTTATCTCATGATTTTCAAAAGCGAATAAAGTAAGGCTTAACTCACTTTTCAGAACATCAGAGATTTGATAAAAATCATAAATGTTTATCTGTTTACTTTACTAAGTAAAATATGACTGTTAAACACCCCCCTCACAGCCATTCAAGTAAAACGCGCAAGACTGCCCTAAACAACAATTGCAGCTTAATTTCTACGATACAATAGGTTCATTAATATCGAGATTTTTAAATGCCCGTTTTTCAGATGATTAGGTCGATTTTTCTCTAATTTAGAGCAGTGTTGGACTTCCGGTACAAGGCCTTTCCTTAATGCATATGATACGTAAGACCCTGTTGAGGCGTAATGTAGTGAAATTTCGCATCAGCAACTCTCCATCACCTTTACATTGAAATTTTCCAGCTAGAGCAATGGAAATGCGTACACAAGCCATTTTTAAGTATCCTTAGCATCGTTACGGGAAACAAAAGGAGAGTTTATTTTTTGAACTATTGCTGCATTACTTATGATGAACAGTAAAAAACCCTTAAAACTCAATAATATTGCCAAATGTTTTGTTAAACTTGCAATTTTTAATTTCTGTTAAGCGAACTCAAACTTGACTTCCGGTTATGGTATGAAAGTCGTTCAAGCGTTAAATTACTGATGTTTAACAAATTGAAGATATTCATAATTTTAAGATACAAAATTCTTTACTTTACATATTTATTTCCCCTAAAGTCGGGTGTTGCGTTTCTTTTGCGTGTCAGTATATATTAAAGAAGAAAAGTTCTTATATGCATTGATTATATGCTGATATAAGTGCAAATAAAATAAGATAAAATTCAGGAAAGAAAGCGGCTTAAATCGGGAAAAATTGTTTAATTATATGTTTAACATTATTGTATTTTCTCGAGAAAACTAAGAAAAACAATGTAAAATATACGTGTACCTATATTTGCTTATTGATTAGTGGATTTAATTGTTAAGTTCTCAAGTTCTACATGTAATATGTGTTGGTTGTTGACGGGGAAATAAGGGGGGGGGGGCAATGATGGAATCAATAAGAAAAGATTAAATCAGTGTACTTTATTATGTTCCCCAAACGAAGTTGGGGAACATATTGTTTCTACTCTGTTTCTTATTCTTCTTCTTATTATTTTTCTTCTTCCTGGGAAAATCTTTTCCGCGAGTGATCTTGTAAACTACACATCTGACTAAGGTGAAACCTTTTTACGGTCAGTAGGCATGTTATGTAGA